ATAGCACACAACTTCTGTTTCAACAAACTCAGGTCAAAAATGTATTTTACATTGGAAATACAACTTTGTCAAAGCACTAAGATTTCCTTATCTTGCCATACTCTAATTTATTCCAAGTAACCTTGCTAATTTAGATTCCAAATCTCTCCAAGTTCATAGCAGTTTTCAGAGCGAGTGAGACTTGCCTATGGATTTGTATCACTTAAGAACTGGCCTGTGCACAGTGAAGGGCAAGTGCCAAGGCTACTGATTTTTGGGACTTCCCCTTTAACCCAGTCAAAATGAATTTCTATGTGTTTCTTCACCAATTTTCTAAGATACAAAACCAAGAACAATGGCTTTCTTTTTAAAACAGTTCAATGAACCCAAATTAACTAATGGCCATAAGCTGTTGAGCTTCGTTAATGGAAGCCATTACAGAAACTACCATGTGACACCAGATTTCACATAAACTATTAAGCTAGTATAAGAACCTGGTAGGTCTCATTTCCAGTCTAACACAAAGTATTAGTAACATTTTAAAACATTTTAATCTTTTCAGAGCAGCAGCATAGCTGCATATTAAGAGCAGCATGTCCTTGCATGTATAAAGACAGAAACATGAAAGACTGGTGCAGCGTGAAAGAGAAAAAAACCAGTAAGATAAAAATGTGATTGTTAAAACACAAATATAAAAACTTTGTCTCCAATATATCAAATTACTCCTAGTTCTTAACTACAATCAAATTTGACATCTCTGCCACACTTTGGATCTTTATCCCCTTTAGATGAAATCATTAGAAGAACTGAGATTATCAGACTTTTTAAGCTGAAGGAAGGGGAGGAAATAACTCAAAAACTCACCATAGTCCTACTCTGGTTTTATTGCAGAAGCTCTTCCTCTTTGGTTTGATTACTAATTCTAGAAGCTAATCACAAAGCAAAGCGAGGAGAAAGGTGAGAGAACAAAGGAACCCTGCAAAGAAACCCTCTACTACTGATTTATATCTCAACAAGCAATGGTAGCTTTCACTAACTATACACAGTTATTTCTTTCATCATTCTTCCTTAGGATGACTGATGGTGACATAGTGAGCCCCAATGGGCCAAGCACTCTCATGATCACCAAGAAACCTGGAGAGCTTCAGAGAGAAGCAGCAGCAGATGTAGAAAGGCACTGCATAAACACATAATGGCGCAGGTTGGAAAGGACCTTGAAAGATCATCTGGTCCAACCTTTCATGGAAAAAATCTAATAAATTAGTAAATTATTAGAACACATACCAATATCTGGATTGAAGATTTCTTCCACAACCAGTTGAAAAAATTCTTTGGAAACACCTCCTTCATCTACCCCTTGCTCTCCTTCAAATTCAACATACAATTGCTTCTTCAAGTCTGCAGGATTTTCCATGGCAATCATCTCTAGCTATTGAGTGAACAGACAGAAGTATTTCATTAGTACATCTCTTTACTAGAAGAGTCAATTGAGTATCAAATAATGAAATCAAAACTACCCTCCAAACCTAAGAAGAAAGCAAGCATAAATCACAACAGTAAAATACCAGAAACCAATAGTAAGCTAAATCACTCTAAGCGCATACTAGAATCTGGGGATTGACACAGCAAGAAAATTACCACAGATATGATCTGTTAGCCAGTTAAGTCTGTTAACTTTCTCCATTTCTATTCTTTTAACCACTTATTTAAAATAAGTTAGCATTGTTTCACACAAAAATTCACAGAACACAGTATGAAAACAAGATGTTTAATTATCACTGGGATAATTAAACACATATGACAATGAAAAGAGGCTGCAATCTGATCTACGTCTCACAATGAACTGTTTCGTGAAGGGATTACACAGATATGTTTTCAGAACCTTCATGTGATAATTTACAGTGCAAGACAGAAGACAAGCCTTTGACTAGTAGTTGCATGTCACAAAGAGCTGGAGAAAAAACCAGAAATAAGAATACACTAATATTACAGCCAAATCGATCCCCTTTCCTCTTGACCCTAATGAAGAACCCTCAGAAATCTCTTGCTCTTCTTTCTTCAGTGCCTTTAAACAGATCCATCTACTGCATTGCTTCCATGAAAGTGGAATTCAGTTAAGTCAAATAGAAGTTGTGACATTTCATAGGAAAGGGTTTCAAGTCTATATAAAGGCCATTACAGGTCTTTCACTTTCTTCCAACAAAAAAAAAATGTATCCTTTCAGTAAATAAAAAGCTATGCAACAATATTTCACAAGTGATAAGAAATACGCTGCTTACAAGCATAAACATATTGGTTAAACCTGTGCAGCATGGTTACATTAAACACACCTTCACAGCAAAGAAAACTCAACAGCAGTAAAGTAAGGCACAGATGGACCTTTACGTTCCTCTACCAAGACCACACTGGTGGTGAGATTTGCCTATAATCCAGGCTAGCGCAAACTGTACTTACCAGCAGGTGTCCTTAATATGCCGAATCATTTATTTCGCTACCCCACCTTATCCACACACACTTGCCAACACATCCTTTACGTCCCAGAATTTTACTGCAGAAGTGTCAAGGAAAACAGGTACAGAACAGAGAGGATAAAGGCAGTGACAATGACATCATCAACTCATAAAATGACACCACCAGTAAGCTACATTTTCTCCTGGTAACTGCCAAGTCAGCCATCCATTTTTCAAGCAGCACAGCAGGGGCAGACAGGTGACAGAGACAAGGTAGTTAGCATAAGGGGTTTGAAGACTTTGAAGCTCCTCATGAAAAAAGGAGCATGTGGGGAAATAATTGCACTAACTGGTATTGAAAAATAGTATCAGGAAGAGAAAGAGTACATAAAAAGCTCAGTGAGAAAAATGGAGGCATGCCATGAAGACCCCAGTAACAAGAACAAGCCAGATTAGCTGATTGAGAGATAAATTAAATCAAAAGATCATCCTGAAAACTTAGTTATGTACTACCTAAAGAATTTTGTATCCAATTCTGTGGCATTTGAAATTAAATATTTTTGCCCCTAAGGAGAACAAAAAAGATTTAATCTTTCAAATTAACTGTATTTTATCAACACCACCTCCGCAGCAAAAACATGTTGCAGTGTCTGTCCCCCATCCTCCCCACCCCAGTATTCTCATCACATGCTTCTGGAAATAGTGTAGTTTTGCATCTTGCCTTCCATGTAAATCTTAAAATTACAGATGTGTAAAAAAGTATTGTTCCTGAAAAGGAGGACAATGAAGCTTAGGCCATGTTCCAAATACAACTGAGACTTTTTAAAAACAGAGAAGTAGCATTTAAGACCATAAGTAGAGGTCTTTTGCCTCTCTTTAACAGAGAGAGTTCTCCTATTTGAATCCCTTCCACTTACAACTGGCACTAATAATGCTTTGTTTTTTTCTCTCCACTCATGACTTTGTTGGCTTTGTAGTAATTACCATCAGTAATCTACTATTTCACAGGTTCTATGAATTTTGATGGGTTCTGAGAAAGCAAGTATTGCCTCTGCATTTCTTTTGGGACAGCAACCCTTTGTCATAGAAAAAAGGCTCTCCCGTGTCTCATAGAAATAGATTTATACTAAAGAGAGTGCTCATATTTATACATATAAAGCAATTAAAAATATTTCAAAATTATTTTTTGGCTGAGAACTACGCAGCAATGAGTGATATAAAAGAAAAGCAGTACCAAAAAAAAGTGGAAGGAAACACTCTTAGTTGAGCAATGCCAGCTGGGGAGACTGGAACAGTGCACTGGATGTCTGTCGAGGGAGTCAGATAAAGGATTACCAAAAAGCCAGTATTTTTAGTCAAAGCCTAATGTTCCTTGAAATAGATTCTATAACCAGGACAACGCTGCTAAGCTGCTCAACTGAAGGTTGTGGGTTTAGCTGCTCCTTTGAACAGCCTTGTCTCAACACTGATGCTTCACAAGAAAACTGGAACTCAGTGGAAACCACAGCATTAGTCACAATAGTAGAGAGGCACCGAATTTTAGCAGAACTGCCACAGCATAAGAGACTGTATGATTTACTTTGCTTACAGAACAATATCATGCTTTCCTGAAAGACAGGAATCTTCCATTGACTGACAGAAATATCACAACATTTAAAAGCTTAATGTAACACCAGAGTTTGGTTACCTTCTTAAAATTGATAGTAACTTAACTAATCTGTGTTCAGTTAAAAATTATCAAAAACCCCCTCAAGTTCTAGCAATGTAAAATAAAAGTTCTCTTTAAGGCAGTGGCAGGAATATTTTCCATACTAGCAGGCGAAAGTGACATGAACACAACTAATTCAAGTTTGAAAGTGCCAGTGACATATTACGACATAAGTCGGTCACTACATTTTCTGAAAAACAGCATGAAGTAATACTTAAAAGTGTCTGAGCAGCATCCGCTCAAGCTGGACTTTACGGTTCATCCACATGCTTTCCAGCAGAGCTCACATACATCAACACCACCAGCCACATTCTGCATGCAACCAAGGCACCCTAGTGCAGAGATTTTCAGCTGAGCACACAAAAACATTGATTTAGTCTAAAAGAACCGCAAACCTCCTTAAGTACTTTATTGCTAACATACTATGAGAGAATCTGCCTACTGGCTTCAGTTGTCACATAAGAGTTTCTGCTCATATATATATTTAGCAGCCATTTACAAGCAGGAAAGGCCTGCTGTCTGTCAGCCATCTACGTTCAATGTGAAATTTGTCAAAGGGAGTTTCTAATTTGTGAGTACCAGCCAGACTCTGCTGAAGGAATCCACCACATTTTCACTTGCAGAACTTGTGTGTCACAACTCACACCCTTTAAATTACTGCTACCTGAGAATGAATCCACATACAGTCTCTGGGGTGGAAGGAAGAAGGGTAAACTCAGAGGAAGTGGATGAAAGAAAGAGGCGTTGGAAGATGAAAAGGCAGAAGAGAGGATTTAAGGATAAACTTTCTTTCATTACTACCACATTAAGGTAGTAATGAAACATGACTCAGCAGAAGTACATCTATCCTCTTAAACCTGTTAGACACAAAAAGCATATTAACTGCTTTCAAGAACTGCAAACTGAGCTACCAACTCCCAAATGTACGGGTTCCTTAAACAAAAGTGGGGACCAGCACTTTATGAATTCCAACATGACCCCCTACTCCTCGGTGACTTTTCAGACTAACATATGCACAGATAAGTATGTGATACAAAGAAAGCAAGTTTCATTAAGTCCATTTCAATAAAAAAATGAAAATAATTGTCTGATGAAAGTTTCACACACACAAAGAAAGTGAACAATTAATCTGTAAATAAAATTTTTGCTTAGATATGTGTTCCAAGGTGAACTATGATTCTCTTAATAAGCAGCTGTAAACAAGTTATTGCTTCAAAGGTATTTAAAAGCTATTGCATCAAATTCTCAACAAAATAAAAAAATCCTACAGCAATAATAAAAAGAAATCACTTACCAGTGCTCATATTTGTTTTAATGAAGTCCAAAAAATTATAAGATCTACATACTGAACTCTAAAAGTTTAAATATTAAGTACTGATAAGAGAATAACAGCTTGGTGATAACTTAATTAGCTTGATTAATTAGCAGAGAAAGACCAGTACTTAGTCCATTTGCAAGAAGAAATTATGAAGGCTGATCGATATATTTGCTTGGAAAATATACAACATCAATAAGGAAAATATGAATAAGATCATCTCAACCTTGCTTTAACCAGTATTTCTGAAAACGCTTTTATCAGGGAATTATCAGAGTTATTCCATAGTCAAAAAAGTCTGCACTGATTGTTCTGTAAAGCTACAGGTCTAGTGACATGAGTGTGTAATTACTTACAATTCAAACAAAAATGCAATTAAAGAGTGAAAATACCAGTAATCATAACTACTTACCTGTAATTTAAGCATGTTTGGAAACATTTTGCCACCGAACAGATCTAAGAATATGCTTTTACTACTGAAGACTATAATCTTGCCAAAGATCTTTCTATAAACTTTCTTGAGACCCTTCCAAAGTTCAAGACTGGATCTCAAACTGCAACCATCACTGATGCAAACATGTACAATGTAGCTTTCACTTAATTTTAATGGTGTCAGTGCTGCTACAGAAGCACACTGAACCCCTATTTGACTACAATCATAAATTACAAGTTACTTCAAGGATTAGGACATAAGACTGAAGATCTTCCTCCACACCTATTCCACACCAATTAGGAAGCAGAAACAAACAGTGAAAATTACTAAAATCACTTCCCAATCTGTTACAGGAAGTAACAACAGCATGCAATTCTTAAACAGAGAAAGCACTTGCTGAAGAAACTGCAAGACAACAGTGTGTAACAGGATTTTCCCTAATCCAGCTACCAGCAGACGTGCAGCTTAGAGACTTTGTGAGGTTTGTATGTGGGTCACAACAAAACACCTGTAACACCTATTACCTTTTGATGGATCTTTCTTTCATGAAGAGCTACAAGTTCGGGGCAAAGACATCAATAATTTTAAGGTACATTGTGGAAAAAAATGTGTCATTTTGCTTATGTTAAGCCTCCTTCCTGATAATATGACTGAGTACCACCAGGTGAGAACACCAGTATTTCCCATTCAACTTCTCCATGCCATCTTTTATGTCCTCTCCATCATAATTTTTAACATTAAGAGGACTTTACAATTTCTGAACTCTCCGAATGCATTTCTACTGCATCCTTTTTTATATTAAAATGAGAAGAAACAAATGAAAGACACATAAGCACACCACAGTAAACAGGGACAGTGTGTTGTTTCATTCACTCCTTTAACTCCTAACACTTCCTCATGAGTATCTAAAATCTCTTCCTTGAGCATTGATACTTCATATAATCAGTTAAAACTTATCAATAGTTAAAAGGTGACTTCTGTACCCACTACATATATTTATTCACACAATTTTCTCTAAGTCCACATCATCTTAAAACAACTACGTTGTTGCATCTGTTTGAAATAGCACACCCAGCTCCCTTCCTCTAGCTAGGATGGCAAGTCTTCATTCATCTCCATTCCACTAAATATAATTTATTTTCCACTTTCAAGAAATGCCTGGGCTGCACTTGGTCTCGTTGACTAATACTACAGTTCAGCGCAGACTACTTGAATTTAGAACAATTTTATCTTCTTCCTTTATTTCCTGTCCCAGAATAAATGGTTTAAAATTATTTCTCTCCTTGGGGCTTTCAGAGTAAGATCACCATAATTCTGCATGTTCTGACAACTTAAATTAACAGCCATAAAAGCATCCATGGCAACTGCCCAGGCATTTACTCATAGACTGCTAGGCTGTGCAAGTGCTGCTGCAAGTGCATCTCAATTTGAATTAGTATATTTGAACTTGATCTGATTTAAATCACCTAAACTTCCAAACAGACCAAGAGTGTGCACAGCAGTGACTGCTGTGGCCCTGTTGCAATACAGCACCTGCACCAACTTGATGTTGCCTATCAGCTGTCTAAGCAACAGTAAACACATTTTTGTCCTCAAAGATTTCACCTTCCTTCCACAATAAGCAATATGTGGAAGAATGCCTTTTCTCACGTTTACAGATTTTTCTTTCCCATCAACAGCATGGGGAGGAAGGTCTGCTTCCTCTCTGATGGAACTGACATTAAAACAAATGTCTCCCTAAAACTAGCTCTTACTCTCTTTTAGCCCATCTTCTCCTAAAGAGGTAGTACTGTCTCTCCCTTTTTTCCAGTATTTACGTATCCCAAAACTGAACAGTCAAGGAAATAAACTCTACTACATTAATGTGACAAAATATAACTGGATACAACTGTCAGTCTGACAGGTAGTGAAACTACAAAGAGTATTCTTAAATTAGAAAATTGGTACACAGTAGGCTTTAATTTTAAAACAGTATTTCTCATTTGCCTAATACAAAATTTGGTTTGCAGACAGAAACCATTTATGCATTGCAATTTTATTTTTCCTACTGGTACTTGAGACAAAGGTTTTCCCTGCCAAGTCACAGTATCAGCAATTCCCATGAACTAGCTAACCCATCTGGAAATTCAGAGGTACACAGAAAAATTAAGGTGGGTGCTCATTTAGGGCTCTACCAATTGACCTTCAGTAGCAGTTAAAGAAGTCAAATTTAACTAGAAGTAACAGCTGGGTTAAAAAGCAAAAAGAGGTACATTCCCCAGAGTCTCTCCAAATACCTGTCTGGCTCTTCAGCAACAAGCTTTAAAGCTATTGTTAAATTTAAAATTTTGCAGACCTTGTGCTTTAAAAACAGAACACAGGAAAATGAGCTCCTAAAAAATAACAGCTTTAAGCAAAAAAACAAAGGGAGGAAGAGTTTATTGGGAAATATTTTTTGTAGTTTGTATCCTGCATAACTCCCATATTCCAAAAAAATGTGTGAACAAATGGCTTTCAGTTTTACTTTAAGAAAGCAGCATATTCAGAAACAGGCTGCTCTCCTCAGGTACTTTCAGGTCTTACTTCTCCTTTCCCAGTTTTATCAGTTTTTGCACCAAACTGCAACAACAAGAAGTGAGATGATCTACTTATCATGCAGTCACTCCACAGACTTTATATCTAGAAGTCTGCGAGAAGAGTACACAATTGAAAGGCTTTAATTCCAACTTCCATGATCCAAGGCAGTCCAGAGGACAAAGGAAAAGTACTGAAACAGAAGGTGGTCACTCTCACCTTTAACAGCTGTAACAGCACTGAATCTGTTAATGGGGAATAAGAACTACCTGACACTTTAAAACATCTACTTAAGAG